AAATTTTGTGTCATATTTAAAGGTTTTAACCCACTATCTATAAATGGGAAGAGAACAGGGGTTTTTATTGGATCAATGTACGCAGATTTGGTGAAAATTAATTTATTTAACCGAAGTAAGGAGAGCAACCCCTTCTTCATTAGCGGGTGAGTTAAAATATTATCTTATTGATATGACAGCTATCAAGTAGAAAACTTTCTAGAATTCTGCATAAAGCTTGCACAGATACTATATATATCATTATAACGATATCTAGGAAGCATGCTCAACTACTCATCTTAAGTTATTGAAGATGGTGCATTTTTATTACCACGACCTCACAGAAGACCAGCGTAAAGTGGAAGTATGACAAATACTTTCGCGTTTCTTCTGGTGAGTGAGGTAGCCGGAGCCCAATTTTCAAAAGGTTGTCAACGCATCTGTAACCCCCGGCTGCCAGTATGGCAGCCGAGGGTTACAGATGCGAGAATTTTACAGATTACATATAAAGTATATATAACATAATTTTATAGAGAATTTTACAGATACGAGAATTTTATAACATGAAAGTAATTAAATTGTTTCTTATAGATGCAGCAAATGCATGTTATCGAATCGAATTTCATATTTTTTGAATTCAAAGGCTCCCTCTTATGCTGTTGATCAGGCGAGTGCTAGTACTCTAACCTGCCTGGATATTGCATATAGAAGTATAATCAGTGGTGAATGTGAAAATGCATTGGTGGGTGGATGCAATATTTGCTTAGATCCTTCACTAACGTTAAATTTAAGGCAGTGAGTATTGAATTTGTCTTTTATGTCACTTTAAAAAAAAGACAGATTCTGTAATTGAATTGTTATATTGTTCTAAGTCGATAGAGATCTACTTTAAACCGAATAAAAATTCCTTATATTTTATCTAGGGTTTTTAAAATTTCGCTTGCTTATTTTATCTTTATTGGTTACAGTAAATTAAAATCAAAGTCAAAATTACTTTTTTCAATATTTCAGTTTATTAATTTAGAGCTGCCCAGACAAAAGCCGGTATGAAAGTCATGTATTAAGTTTAAAATCTGCAAGTGCAGAGCAAGAGTTCTAAACATCGTTGTTCTCAATGTGTTCTTCGATATAATAATAGACATTTTGGATCAGGGTAGCAACTTGCAACATCCGTGATAGCCTTTAATTCAATTTACTCGAGCAACCTGAGTTCGAGCGAGCGGTGCTGGCGCCAATGAAATTGTTACCCTCTGCACAGAGGAGGCCTTTCCCAGCGTTGGGGACATGAATAGGCTTTTACTTTACTTTACTTTTTGGCTTTTAAAAAAATATTTGAAATTGTTTACAGTTAGTTGTTTGTAGATGTTACTAATTTTATTAAATACGTTAATAAATCTACAATTAAAATTCTTTCTCTTTCGAGCTAGTCTAAACCTCGGTACTTCATAAGTGCCACCATGGTTTACATCGATATAAAAATAATTAAATTCGAGTAAGTTTTTGGTTAATATGTTTGGTTACTATATGTGTGTATGTGGAAAAAAACGAAGACCTTTTAAGGCCTTTTACCGTTACCTTTATTCATTACTTTGTGCGAATTTTCAAGATATATATATCTTGAATATTCGCACTTAGTGTTTTGGCATATTGAGTACAAATTAAATATATCACATCGAATCAATTATTAGTAGTTAGTATATTTAGTATAGTTATATATTTTTTTTAAAAACATTGTCATTACTTTAGGATTATATCCTGTGTTTTAATGACGTTTTACAAACATAAACTTCACGCAGACAAACACCCAGATGCGAAACAAGTATCTGTGGGTCACACAAATAGTTGTCCCGTGTGGGAATTGAACCCACGACCCCTGACGTCGAAGCCAATGCCTTGGCAACTGCGCCACGGAGACATCCAATATTTAATTTTTTTATATTTTATTTTATAAATTTTTTATTTTTTATATTATTTTTCAATATTTTAGTTTAGTAATTTCAGTCGACTTTTATTTTCATTTCAATTTCTAAAATAAGTCAAATAACCCTGGAAGCATTAAAGCTTATTTGATGCCCGCGAACACTGCACCCATGAATGACGCGCCCACTGCAAATGCCTGAAAAAAGTCCCGGGCTGTAGGAAAATCATCACGACCTACGCCAGACGTAATCCGCCAAGCAACTCGAAGTCCAAAACTACTCAAATTTGACATCATTGTAAAAAAATCCAAATTTCGTATTGTCAATCTCCATTTCTTGTCAGTCGTACTAACCTTGCATTACAACGACACTAATTGAACCAAGCTTGGTGGCTGTTAAATGTACGATATATCTGAGGAGGATCGAAATAAGTGTTACGAACTTAGTTTCGAACTCAAGAACACGTACAAATATTGCAATAAAATTTTAACCATTGTATGAGTACAATGGTTAAAATTAAAGTTAATATTAAAATCCTGTGTACAAAGGGAAAAACAAATTGATGTAAACTTTTAACTTTTAAAGGGCTGGTTTATTAAGTTTGGATGGAAAAACAAGATGTTTTGATAAACGTGGTGACGGCTATGTTAGATCCGAGACAATTGGAGTCCTATTTTTACAAAAAGCGAAAGACGCTAGAAGGTAAATAGTTGATAAAACTATGGAAACAAATTCTCTCTTAAAAATAAATATTCAATATCATTAACATCAAATTTTATACGTTTTACGAATAAAATACGAAATCCAGATTAAAAAAAACTTTATTTGTCACAGAATCTATGCGGAGGTATATCATACGAAAGTAAGCTTTGAATTAAAACCTCATTTTGAATTTACGCCCGCACGTGACACTGAGAGCATTGTAAATTTTCTTGAAGGATTTTATTCTGAAGTAGATGTATCTCCAGATGACGTGGAATATGTTGAAGCCAACGGTTCAGGTATGTATAAATATTTACTAACTCTAGCTACATAGAATTGTTAAAATACAATACTTCTTTTTCCTACAGCTCTGCCTCATGCTGATTCTAAGGAAATGGAAGCGATTTCAATTATCTTTTCCAAAAAGAATCCTGTCAAAATAGGAAGTGTAAACTCAAATATGGGAAATAGTGAAAGTGCCAGTGGGTTCTGTTCACTAACAAAGGTATATTTATTTTATCATTTCTATGATACGGCCACGTAACAGCTTCTCTTGTTACAAGAATGTTCTGGCCTGTCCAAGGAAGCACCACAACTTCACAAGAAGTCACGTGTGAAATGGAAGAAAAAAATACTTTCGCGTTTCGTCTGAGAAGTGAGATAACCGGGGTTTTAAAGGGATGTCAACGCATCTACAACCTCTCAGATCTTGCAGATGTCCGTGGTTGGCGGTGATCACTTACGAGAAATCCAACAGCTCGCCTCACTACTTTTGACATAGTAAAAAGTACATTCTTAATTAAATAGAACTATTCTAGAAAAATTCAATAAAATAGTCCTCTTAAATTCCCTCAAATATCGTTTTACTGTATTTATATTGTTAGAAAACCAGTATTTGGTCATTTTTAAAATTTTACTCGTGGGCTATAACAATCAAGATATTTTGCCTGCATCCACGACTCCATGAAGAGCTGGCGCCATCCTCACCATATCTTTGTTCAAATCTTGACTTAAGATCGTGTGGGATGTGAGATAAAACTGTGAGCAGCAACAAAAAGGACTACTGATCCACCGGCATATTCAATTTTCTAAGGCTGTTGCACGCTACTACAGCGGGTCAACCAATTCCAACCAACCAAAACTTAAATAAAATTCCAAAAACTTAGTCGCACCTGTCGCATCCCTTCTTCATGGTCTAAGAACTCTTTATTAAAAGATCACCCTTAATAAAGGTGGCAGCGCATTTGTAGTCCTACGGGTGTAGCAAATGTCATTATCACTTAACAATAACCATGATGGTGAACCACCATCTTGCTTGCCACCTTCTCAAATTAAAAAAAAACTCTTTCTCCAAGTATTCTGAAATTGCTCTGATTCATCAGTTCTGCCGATTTGTGGAAGATTGGGATATTAATAAAATGAGAGGTTTCCCTTGCAACTAAATCTCAGTACCGAAATACACGTGGATAGACGAAATGGGCAAAGACGGGTAACTTGTTCCACCAAATTTCGATATGGGTATGTGAGTTACTCATTAAAACCCAAAGTTCAAAAATGCAACGTTCGTTTTTAGTAGGTAGGAAGCTGCTACGTGGGCCTACTGGGGCTTTCATGGTCATTTCAACTACTTAATCTTAGTTTACCACACTAGAACGAACACTTAACACATATGTATTTGAATTAATAGGTATGTAAACGTAGACATTATGTACATGTTATATTTTGTTTTAGGTCTGCTTGGCATATCATACCGGTAGAATTGCTGCCAATTTAAATTTCGAGGAGCCTGAGGAAAAAATGTTGTCTCTTTGCAACAATAAGCTACACATTCTTCAAGAACATACTGATTTCCAAAGAAAATTTACTGCTATTAACTGCTTCTCTTATACAGGCATTAACGTGCACGTTCTTTTGAAAGGCCATTATAAGAGAAAAGTAAAAAAGACATATCATTTATTAAATTTTTATTAATTGACATAATAAATAACTTAATGTTTTTTGACAGGATAATGCTAAATACAAAAGTGACATACCACAGTTAATAAATGTTTCCGGCCGAAATGAATCAAATCTACAAGACCTTTTAAATAAATTAAAAAAAAATAGATTTGATTTTGAGCAAATTGCTCTATGTCGAGCTATATACGAAGTGGATACACCTGGCCATACATTCAGAGGCTTCATATTATTAGCTGAGCCAGAAGGTTTGAAAGTTCATCAAAAAATTTAAATTACTTCTTACTAGAAATTTTGGTAGTTTGTTTGAAAGAATAAATTTTTCAAGCTTACGAATATTCCTGTTTTTTAGATGTCAACTTACAAAAACAAACTAATGTCCTTAACCAAGGCATTGAATACTTTGACGGACATAGGAGACCTGTTTGCTTTGTGTATAGTGGCATGGGATCACAATGGCCCGGAATGGGTGCTGAACTTTTACGGATACCTATATTTGCGTCAGCAATCAAAAGGTAGGTAACGGTACCTCACAGAAAAACTCATTATACTTTCATTTCTTAATAATAGAAAAAAAAATACATTAATTAATGTTTTCCATTTAGATGCCACACTGTTCTGGAACCTTTAGGTGTTGATGTGTACAAGATATTGTGCAAAACAAATGGCAATGTCTTTGACAACATCTTCAACAGTTTCATTGGTATAACTGCGGTACAAATTGGACTGACTGATGTGATGAAAGCATTTGGTATTAGTTCAGTTTACATTGTTGGTAAGAGAACCTTTTAATTGTATGAGCTTTTTTTCCCCTGTTTTTTAATTTTTTAATAATTATGAACTTTATTTATATTAGGCCACAGTCTGGGAGAAATAGGTTGTGCATATGCCGATGGATGTTTTAGCTTAGAAGAAACCATTTTGACGGCGTACAGTCGTGGTATCGTATCATCAGAATCCGATTTTATTAAAGGTTCAATGGCTGCAGTAGGCATAGGATACAAAGAGGTAAGATAAAAAAAATGGTTGTGTGTACTTGTGTACGCGCGTGAGAAGTTATATTTCTTTGGCATTATTAAATAAATGTTATTAATTAATATTAAATAATTAATTACAACAGAATAATAAAAAGACTGGAAAAGAATATAAATAATAAAATTGTGAAAGCGCCATCTACATTTTTATTGAGAAATGTAACGGGTGAATGTGGAATATAATAAGCGGGTCATCGGGCGTCTTTTGTGTTACAGTGATGCGCGCGCATCTTAAAATTTCACTCTCATCATTTTTTCATAACGCGCCTAAAGAATTATAACTTCAAAAATGTTTGTGGGTGTCACTTATTTTATTACACAATTTAATACATCTACCAACTAACGAATTTCTGGTTATAACCAGTCTTAACCTCGGTACTTTCTGTGTCACCACGGCCTCCATCGTGATGTGGTGTGTAAGTTTTTTTCTAGGTGAATATTATTACGTACATATAAATTCCCTAGTATGTAAGGGGTGTCTCAGTAAAAGTGTACTTTTAAATTTGGAATATTTTTTTTTCCATGCAAGTGGCAACTCTGAAATTTTACAGCTGTCACCTTTGTTTATTCCGATTTCCGATTATTAAAAATGGAGTGCTTTTCGAAAGAATAACGCGTTATAATTGTGAAAACTCATTACAAAAATGGGGAAAGTTACGCTGAAACCGCTCGCAAACTTCGCCAAATTTGCATAGAACCTGCAAGTGGTTCAACCATTGAAGAGTGTTCAAAAAAATTGAAGAAACTGGGTCAATTATGGATAATAAGAATCCTTTGCGTCAACGTACTAGTCGGTCTCTTGAAAACATTGCTGCTGTAAACGAGAGTGTCGCCGAAAACATCAATTCGACATCGTTCACAACAACTTCAAATTTCACGAAGCACTTCGCAGGAAATTTTGACTAAAGACCTCCACCTTCATGCGTACAGTTAACTCAGGCGCTCAAACCAGGAGACCACGAAAACCGCCAGCAATTCGTTCAATGGGTAACGGAGCAAAGTGAAGTCGATGCCAATTTTTCGAAAAAAGTCATTTTCTCCGATGAAGCGCATTGCCATGGCATATTAATGGCTTCGTGAATACTCAAAATTGTCGAACTGCCTGGTGCGGATTTTGGTCAGGTGGCGTGATTGGACCTTACTTTTTTGAAAATGAGGCCGAAATTGCAGTGACTGTGAACGGCATTCGTTACAGGAATATGATAATGGACTTCTTGTGGCCTCAACTGGACGACATGAATCTGGACAACATTTGGTTTCAGCTGGATGTCGACTGATTTAACGCCTTGCGATTTTTTTCTTTCGGGTTTTGTGAAATCTCGGGTTTAAGCGAATAAACTCCAAACAATTCCTGAGCTCAATTGTAATGTAATTGTAATTGTGTAATGGCCTGTCATCGGAGCCGTGGTAGCTATTTTCCGGATATTTTATTCCATACTTAACCAAAACATATCTTCTTTAAAATACAATAAAAATATCACAACTCTGTCATAAAATAATTGTTTTTATTTTAAAATGAAAAATTGCATTCTTACTGAGACACCCGCTATATCGACGGGAGCGTTCAAACATTCATTTTTTTAAAGCCCTAGCTTGTGAAATACAAATATTGTGTTTCAACTGGATGCGGAACCACAAATTAAAACACCACATGCGATTAAAAAAACCACAAGAAACCAATTTAACTGCGGCCTCGTTTGTTAGCAGCCTGATCTTTTGGAATGCCAAAGACAGCAATGCTCAACTTATTTGCTAAGTTTTCTACGTGAACTCCATTCCAATTCTGAATTAATGCATATTCCTAGAAAAGCTATTTTATCCTCAAGGGGAGGATTTTCTCTTAAATACAGATTCGTGTCTGTTCTTGTCTGACTTATATGTTTGTATTCACAGATTCAATCTATTTGCCCAGCAGAAATCGATATAGCATGTCATAACAGTCTCAGTTCATGCACTATATCTGGACCTACAGAGGCTATGAATTCGTTTGTCAATCAATTATCGGCACAAAATTACTTTGCAAAAGAAGTAGCATGCAATAATATTCCTTTCCATTCCAGATATATAAGACACGCAGGTAGTTATTTTTAAATTACCACGTAAACTTTATTTATTTTAAATTGATTAAAGGCTAACTTTGTAATATGCTAAATTTTACTTTTGTGGGAGATTTTGAATCACCGCAACATATTTGGGATTATCTCTGATTTTTATGGTCAATCTTTGATTATGTTTACTGATTTTTATGATAATTGTGGGGAACAATCATCATTGTACTGTATTGCCTAAAGCGAAACGTTATCTTCATTAAGGACATGAATACAGCCAGCACGTTATGCTTGGAAAAGTTATATGAGTGAATTATAACATAGATTAAATTTCTACTTACCTTACATATTTCTGTATTAAATATTGTGGAATCACACTGTCAAACTGTAAGGCAGAAAGACAGGTAGAGATTACCAATTTTATCGGTCCTTGCACTTACTATATCCAGGTATAGGAGTCGGTTACAAGTACTTTTTACGAAATACTTACTTAGTACCTACCTATATTATTACCAATCTGGTTAATATACAATCGTAGAAGTATAATGAATCCAAAACTTTTTTTAACAGGTCCAGCTCTTAATGAAAAACTAAAGAAAATAATTAAAAATCCGAAAGTTCGAAGCAATAAATGGATATCAACCTCAGTTCTGAAAGCAAACTGGACTAAGGATGAAGCTAGATTTTCTTCGTCTGAATATCACACTAACAATTTATTGGTATTGAAACCTTCATGTTTTCATATTATTTTATATGTTTTTCAGAATAGTAACTTAGCTTATATTTCTCCGCTTATGTTTTCTAATACAGGATTTTATTTGATACCATTACAACCATAGATCACATTATAACTAATTGTAATATCAATGAAAAGGCCGTACTTTGTAATGACATTGAAAAATTATTTTGAACCGGCAGTTTAATCCTGCTTAACATAAACAAAACTCCAATTGAAATAAAGTGATATCTGCTGCCCATACATAACTGAAGAGTTGCGGATGCTTTACCAATCTGTGAAATATTGGGCCGTGGTCTCTCATTAGATGAAACGCAAAAGTATAATACTTCTTTCTATTCAACCACAGTTTTCTCTGAAAATGGATACTTCTCTGGAGAAGCCAGGATATTCCTTCAACAATAGAAGGTCTAGTTTGCCTTCATCGTAGAAAAAAAACCCTTTTTTAAGGCATGCCTGTGGTTTCACGGGGATTCATGGGGTTTAAATTTTCACCATACTAGCGAACGTGTGTATAGGGCGTTGAAATTTTATTCGCTTCCGCCAGATGACTGTGATATGTCTACTATCTCGATGGTATAACAGTTAGTATTATTGAGTTAATGCAAAAACATCACCTAAATATGACATATAACAGTACTGGCCGATATGTAATTAAAATTGATGTGGTTATATGTTGTAACGAAGATGTAAATTTCAAAACAATACTGTACACAATTTTTTGCCAAAGCCTACTTGTAAACATCAAGTAACAAACCTGTTATCACTGTCACTTGCGTATTTTTATATGCGTATTTTTCAAATTTATAAAATAATGAACAATATTACAGAGCTATGTATAAGTTCTATTTTTTTTATTTACTACAAGAAACTTGAAAGAAGCATATGAGAATAAGGGACATTAAATTGATGAATTTGATTTTAATTAATTTTAGAATCCTGTGTACTTCGAAGAGGCTACCAAGTTACTTCCAGCAGATTCAATATTAATAGAAATAGCTCCACATGGCTTGCTTAATGCCATTATAAAGCGTTCTCTAATTAATGGTGTTAGCATTTCGCTGACAAAACGTAACCATTCGAATCCTCTGAAATTCTTTTTGGAAGCGATAGGAAAGTAAGTACCAATTTCATTATTATATTTAGTTAACCAGCATGTACTTGTAATTTTGTTTAAGTTTGTTTCATTTTATTTAAGGTAGATTTGTTTTCTTAGACTGATAAAAAATGAGATATTGTCATTGTTATTTAATTTTTTCTTTTTAAAAATACCTGCTTACAAAACAAAATTTATAGCTAAGTCCTGAGACGTGCTCAGTCACTTTCCGCTTTTAAAAACCCTTTCAAGAGTCACTATTTGTCACTTTGAATCTGTATTTAGGCGTGTCTCTGATATAATGTATATGTATATGATGTGGTATGTATATAGTATAATTTATTAGCTGTGTATGCATATATATTTATTTAGGTATGTATGTACTTATTTATTTTATATTATAACAAAGTATGTATTTATCTTCTAAAATTAGTAAAATTTTATCTACACCCCTAAAATACTCTTTACTTGTTATGTCCATCCAAAGGTTGCCTGGACGAAATTGCTTTAAGTAATAAGGCCGCCCATTGTACAACCCTTACATAATTGTTATTTTTAATGTATTATTTTTACCATGGTGTGTGCAATAAAGAATATTCATTCATTCATTATTTTCGTAGATTGTACCAGCATGGACTAAATCCCAAAATCAACTTCATGTATCCTAAAATTGAGTATCCTGTGTCAACAGAAACGCCAATGCTATCACATTTGATTGGCTGGGAGCATAGTGAAAACTGGTAATGTATTATTGCTAAAATAAGATCACATCTAAAAATTACAGTCTTTTTAGTTTATGTTCCTAAATTTAAAAATGATTACAAAAAGGACTGTTATTTTTATGCTCACACTTAGACTCTTTAGTTGTTAACCCC